CGCTCGTTGCGAGTTAATCCTCGAGTATGCAATAAAGCTGCTAAAGTATTTGTGTTCCCGGCGAAATTACCCATATTGAAAATACCCTTCAGCGCTAACAACCGACTAAAGGCTTATATTTAAACATGACCATATATTACATAGACGTACTTTCGCATATCTCATTTTCATGTTAACTAACTTACTACAAAATACCGATACATTCTAGTTTACGTTAACATTTTTAACATATCTCTGTTATTTCAAATTTAACTTCGAATACTTGTATATTCGTATTTATATAAACATAGATAGAAGCTTAATAGCTCTTTTTAAATTACAGTTTTATTTTGTTCCAATTGAAATGTTTTCTACTGTAACTAAACCACGATCTTAATTATTTATATATTTATATAACAAAGATGAATTATTTGTATTTTTGCATACATGAATAAAGTTTAAATTTTCGTTTGAACTACTGTACTCGTTTACAAAAAATCTTTTGCCATTAAAAAGCTTAATTTCCACTAACATAGGCTTCATTTTCACTACATTTTTTTAATGTGGACAAATTCTTGAGCAAAAGCTTGAATGATATACTTGGATTAAAATAATATCAACTACTTACAATTTTCATAAGACCAATAAGTTATAGAGAATTCAAACAGAGCTTTACAACTTCTACTTCAAGCTTAAACTCAAGTAAGCAAACAATAACTTGCTTTCATGTGAAATATTTATTATTAAAAAGCATTAACTTAAAAACAATCTCAACGTCGAACTTTGTGCTGTTTCTCGTATTGATTTTCAATTATAACACTGTAACTGCTTAACTTGGTTGTGCGAAATATTTGATTTTCAAGTAAGGAATACATTTTATAATGAAACTCTTTGAGTTATAAAATAATAATAAGTTGGAATTTATTGGCACTTTCACGAATAAAACTAAGTAATGCAATTACTTTAATTATTCTTAAAGATATACTCGTACAGTCGAGAAGCCGAGAAGCTTAATTTCGAACTGATAGATAAAAGTTGGTGGATTGGATTACATTTCGAAGGATATTTTGAAATCTTAAAAGTTTTAAAATCCAATGGTTTTTTATAACGAAAAAATAAGCTAAAAAGTCATCATCTCTAGCTCACAATAAGTCTCCACCGAGAGGCTCGGAGCCTACCCTAAGTAAGGGGTGACTAGGCCATACTCAACCACGCTGGCCCACTGCGGTTTAGTTGACTTAACACATATCTTTGAATTTCTTCGCCGATACGTACATTTGAAAATTTGAAAAATCAAAAATCGCATTGGTTCATGGCGGGATTCGAACCCAAGACTTGTAGATTACAAGTCAAGTGCTTAAACTACTGAGTCACCGACACTCTCAAAGTAATGCTTACAAAGTAACTTATTTTAATGTAGGAAAGAATTTAATTTAAAAAAAAATTAAAAAAATAATAATTTAAATTTAATTTAAAAAATAAAGGTTAAAAAGTATTCTGAAGTTTTAGACCTGAAATGTTTTATTTATGTCCTGTGATTTATTTCACCTTTGTTGATTTTTTTTACGAAACAAAAAAGGGTGAAGGAAATTATCATTTATCAATGCTTTTGTCAACAGGGCCCCCTGTCAATAACGTAAAAACAATTAATACGTCAATAATTGACGGCCTTTGAACAATAACTTCAATTCTGTAGGAATTTAGGATCCAATTTTATAAAACAAAGAATTATTACCTACATAAAAATACCATTAATTACTAAGTTAATTCAAAACGGCGATAAGTTAAATTTAATTTGTTAAGTTATACATTTTATGGTACATGCAATACTTTTTAATATGTTTTTTTTTTCTGATAAAAGCCTTCCAAGTAATTCTGATTCTTAAACTCAACGGAAAGAAATCTTAGTGCAATCTTTTCTTCCACTTTGCATATGTAAGAAAGAAAATTTAGTACAGTGAAAATTAAAACAAAATAGCTTCGAAATATGAATATTAAGATTTTTAACTGTAAAATATTTTCTTTTTTATTTTGCACAAAGAAAAATATATTACTGTTATAAATAGTAAAACTTGTACAAAAAAGTCACCGGGCTATTAATCCAGAAATATCTATCTCTACTTATTTCGTTAAAATTTAAATACAAGTATAAAATTAAACATTATTACAATACTAAAAGTTAAGTGTAGTGTATAATGAGGTTGTAACAGACACTAGGTGTACATTCATAGCAGCGGGTAAACCGAAAAGTGTAACAATGTTTAGTGAAACAGAACAAAAGGTATTCGCAACGTGCGGAGACCGCAGAGACGGGGTAAATGACGTCACGTGGAGCGTTTTGGAAAGTTGTTTCATGAAGATGTCGCGGCCACATTCCTGTGGTCCCTTGCCAAGCTGCATACCACACTAATGTTATACCGGTCCACACGTATTGCTGCCGAGGTGCTACGTGTTATAAATATCTTAATAAGTGTCAATGACTTTGTAAACGGCTACGGTTATTTAGCATAGCATTATTACAAACTGACGTTTTATTTTACGTATAAGGGATTAGTCTCCATTCAATTTCATTGAATACAATCATACTTTATTAAACCTACATTTGCGTTGGTTTAGAATGATATTTACGTATGTCATATTTAAAATGTATATATAATATGACTTCTCAATTTCTCAATGAAATTTGGTATGAATGTAAAACATAGTCTGTAAGGACACGTACTAAATTTTTTCCAATTTCCCCAAAGACTAAGAAATACAACATAATATAAGTTAGTAGTAAAATAATTATTAATTCCTTCAAATCACAAATAATGAAATACTATTCCATATTGAGTTAATAATAGTTTAGCAGGAAGATCAAAGTATCTCAAACTGTAAATTAAAAATATTTTAAAACCGTAATAGTTTTTACAACGTAATTAAATCATATCTTATCCGACGACCAGACGGAGTTTTTAAGTTCACCGGAGTCTAACTCGTAGCCTGTTTGCTTAAGAGGGGATACAATAAAACTTTGGAGTTTTAAAAAGTTCCAAGTTCCTGCGCTAGATGCTTCGGCTCATTCGCAAAGACTTCTCAACAAACTTTTCATTTGCATCCGTGTGTAACTTTTGTTTCTGGAATTTCAACCACAAGAGGGTAAAAAATGTGTTTCTCCTTCGTTATTCACGTTAAAAATTGTTTTAATTAGCGGCTGAAACTTTTGTTTATGGACGCGGAACGGACAAGCGGGTCGTCTGGAAAATGAACTTACGATTTAATCGAATTAAGTAAAATATACATGCGCATTCCGTAAGCCTTAAGAATGGCAAAATTTATTAAATAATGAGAATAGGGTGCTAATCATATTGATTAAAAAAAGATGCAAAAATAACAACAAGACTATGATAGTGGACGACCTACGAAATAACAGTGGTAGAGCCTACTTTAACATCTCGTCTATGGGTAGCATTGGCTTCGCTATTTTGGTGGATTCAAGTGGCCGCTTGCCACCTTGTTATAAAAAAATAGTAGACTTTTAATGTTTTAATCTTCTAATCTTTATTTTTGGTAATATACTATACGTAGTACTGCGCCTTACGTATGAACATATAAATATAATTGCAAACTTATTCTGTATATGAGGTCTTGTTCGCCGCCGCCAATTATAATTACATCCGCAGTAACATCTGATGCTGAATGCGATGACGTCATAACACTCCTCTCCTCCCCACAACAAAGCTATCTTAATAAAAACTCAGCATTTCTTTGTGTAATATTTGATAAGAAAGTTTCGAAGAGAAATTTAATAACTCAAGAATTTTCTTTTAAGTTTGTTTTTGAAGATTTATTCAACTAAAATAAATACGTTTTTATTGCTTATATAAGAAACAGTAATATCAAATTTGGGACCTAAAAAGGACTAGATTTGAAAAGATTTAATGAAAACCGAGTACACAAAACAAAAAAAATATAATCTAGGTTACGCGTTGATTAAAAATATTTCTGTTTGTAGACAAGTTTTTAAATTAGTTTAGTAGTTTCTTGATTTAACGACATTTGTATAGTTATATATTATAATGAATTAAAAAAATATTACGATTTATTTGTACTTTATCAGTTGTGGAGCCAAACATCGATTGCATTCGATTGCATAAATTTTAATATTAACCTGCGCGCTCGACCGTTAGGAAACTGATTGTAATTGTGTTCATTATTGATAAGCAATTGATGTTCAAATTAAATGGAACTGCGGATCGTAACTAATGTACCTTTAATAATGCATTCAGTTTAATTACTCACGAGAAATGATTATATCTTATGAACGTTATATGCCATTTTAATTAGTAATTTAACCAAATGTAATAACGCATTTTAAGTGGCACTAAGTTAACCTTAATAATAAATTCAATTATTTCAAGTAGCTATTGTGCTATACTATTCAAAATTGATAGCGCGGTCTTCACATGTGTGTGCCAGTTGGACTCATTGTGAAGGAAAGTGTGCTCGGGTTTGTAATTTGACCCCGCAACTTAATCTACGTAGCGTCTCGTACGAAATTCCAATTATAAAAAATTTGGAAGATACTGTATTTAAAAAAAATCACTCACCTGACTCATCATAGGAACCGTGTTGATCTGACACATATATGTGCCGGAATCCTTAGGCTCCACGTTACTGATGTACAGCTTCCACGTGTTGTGGCCGTTGTGACTAACTGACAAGCGTGGGTTCAACGTCACCATGTGTGTATGAATCGCCAGGATAGCCTTCGTATCAGATTTTATCCAGGCCACCTAGAAAAAACTTCAATTAGACCTATCCTTCAATATACAAAAGCATTACAATACTAATTATTAACCTAAAGTCTAATGCAATTTAAAAAAAATAACTGGTAACATTTTTTTATTACTTTATTAAATTAAACTTATGTGATCTATTACAAACCCGTTAGATGTTATTTTGGGCCAAGATAACCTCATGTTAAAAGAAATTGCTCATTATTTCTAAGTCTAAACGTTAATAAGAATATTTTTACCTTATAACTGCTTAGATGGTTGACTGTACACGTGAAATGAACATCTCTGCCTTGGGCGACTGTTAAATTCTCAAGCGGTGAGAGGAACTCCGGCTCTTGTTCGCTATACCCAGAACCCTGTAGTTGTCCTGTAATCAAATTTATATATTGAACTAATGCGTTGAATCTGTATGGACTACGTATAAGTAAAAAGGTTTTAGATGATCTATGAGCGTACTGGCTACGTGATTCTGTAGAATGCGTTGCAACGCATTTTCAACTGAAAAGAGAGGAATACATATGTATATTAATATGTCGGAGTGACGAGCGGCTTACTGAATAACACCAAACAATTTCGAATATTGCCAGCACTCAATTTTATTATTTGATAGCAACTTTAGTCGTAAAATTTGCTTGATACTTGTGTATGACGACTTGTTTCCTTACAAATGGCGTTAGACGCCAAAGTGCTTGTTTTTGTTTATAAATAACTTATTATTTAAAATGAATTACATTTCCAACTTAAATTCTTGACTTGATGACAAATTGATCTGGAGATAAATTTGTATGAAAACACGATCCATTTTTAATATTACTCATTAAAAAACAACTAATAGTATTATAAGTAACGATATTAAAACATAATAGCAAGAATAAAAAGGACGAATTATGGAAGGAGGTTAACTTCTATTACGCAAAGCTGTTTCTCTGTATATTTACAATAATTTTCATTATTCCATCAATTTCCATATTATTTCTGATTTAAATTAAAAAAGGAGCTTTGATAATAAAAATCAGAAAGTAAGTTTTCAACACGGTTGAAAACTGAATCGTTCGGTACACTGTGCAATTTTTCGCGTGGGAAAAAAGGGTTTCAATTGAATGAATCTGTTTTATTTTCAACGTAACGGAATACAAATAAAAGAAATAGAGGCCAAATTGGCCTTTCAAATTGGTTGAAATTGGGTCAGGCTTGCACAAACAAACAAGAGTGGTGAAATAGCCCACGCTGCTGCAAGCGTTAACAATATTTTTGATTTCAATTTATTAATAAAAAATGTTTACAGACTTATTTTATAAATATTACGCATGTCTATTTATAACAAAAACATTTCCTATAGCTAGATAGGATTGGTTATCTCGTCTTCACGCACAATTGTAATTAGTTTTTTTTATTAGACGAACGTGCTGACTTTTGAAGTTATCAAGACTTTCGTTTAGTACCCTGATTTTGCATAATTTCACTATAAAATTTAGAGACACAATAGCTCTTTAATTCGTACTGTGTCGGGGAGAGATGATATCGCATTGTAGTGGCTCGGGGTGGCAGTCACGTTTGCGACGATTTTCTTATCTTAAATATTGTCAATAAAATCATAAAGCGACGCGACGGTACGGACATATAGCGGTAAAGAACGGACATATACTATTTTCACACATAATTTTATTTTCATGTGTGAATCAAGAATCAGAATATACATCAGCAAATTAGATACAGTAAGCTTAATTCGATTGTGATGCGTCCCAAATCATCATTTGTTTTGTCCCTCGCAATGAACAGGCGTCAATTAGTATCCGACATTTAAATGCGGCCGAGCGTTTACTCACACCCGTGATTCGGTTTTCGGCATTCGGTATTCTGTGATTAGGGATCTGAATCGAGAAAGGTTGGCATTTAAAAAGGGTCACATTAAATGTGCCATACTGTGACATCAAAGCGATTAATGGCTTCGCGCAGGATTGTGGAACGCCGCGATATTTTTTATTTCAATTCAGCTAAATACGATGTTTGACTTGGACATTTATTTCGCATTCCTTTTACGGTTTTGATTGTATTTAAATTACAACAAATACAATCACACTTTAACTTCGTCGACATTTTGTAAAAATAAAACTATTTAATGTAACAACATTATTAAAATTTACCATTGCTTAAAGGTAAGAAACCCGTAACATCTAAAGAATAGAGGTAGGGAGATGTGACAATATTCTGGTACAGTAAACTGGCTAATTTGAATAAATATAGATATCATAATATACGTTAGTAATCAGAAGCCAACGCAATTTACCGTCACATAAATACAATTAACATTATAGTTTACATAATCGATCTCTAACATACTAAGTCTGTATTAATTAATCCTTTAACTGCAGTCAATTTGAAATCCAATTTACGTTAACAGGGTAATTCAAAACTACACATACATTTAAATATTTCCTGAATTCTTGTTGCACGGATACAGATGTCTCTGTCGTTCACGGAAATAATTAGGATTCACACGTGACATGTGAAAAGGGTAAAACTAATAGGTCTCAAGCGATTACGTTTCTATAAAGAACATTTGAGAGGTATCTTGATATTATGGTAAACAATATCAATATCAAATGTGGGAGCAAACGATAAATAGATTGTGCGACAGTTAATATTATTAATAGTACCAAAACATAGTCATGTCTCTGATTCTCGATCGTAAAACAGAAGAACAAAAGATGACTGACAGATCGATGTAACGCCTGATGAATACATCTTGTTCCTTCAACAGTCATGAGAAATACACTAGTAGTTTATCTATACGTATTAAAGTCTATCGAATTGTAGACAAACGCTTCTACAAAATTGAAATAATACAAAGCTTAAAGTTATAATAACAAATTGCTGCCTTTTATGAAATAACACTGCAATGTATGACCTCAATTTCAGTCAAGAGATTTCATTAGGGCTAACATAATTTCCCAAAGCACTGCAATTTCCCGAACAATAATGGAACAAAACATCTAAGCGTTTGTTGGGAAGGCAGGCGCCTTTGTCTGGACGAGTGCATGCGTCAACCCAACTGTATCAAATGAAAGTTAATAATGCCTCGATAGTAGCACTGTTCTTTATTATTTACTCATGTCTTGTTATTTACTTAAAAACTAGCTTTTACCTGTGACTCCGTCTGCGTGAAATTACAAAAAAAAGTAGCCTATGTTTTCTTCTAGACTATGTCACACATTTGTGCCAAATTTCATCGATATCCATTTAGCCGTTTTGGCTACAAACTTTAACAAACATCCATCCATCCATCCACACTTCCACATTTATAAGAGAGTAAGATTTATCATTCCGTCATATAGCTTACAAGAATAAAGCGGTTGTTCATCAAAAACAAAGAGTAAAAACTTTATTTTTAAATTTAATACCCAACAACAAAGTAATCAAATAAACATTTTGGTTATAAATGTATCTTTCAGTGATAATATGTTTTTCAATTTAAATATAGAAAATGCAGTTAAATTTTATAATTTATGCAGACCACATAAATTATTACAGGGATCAAAATTAATTCAACCAATATTAATTGGATGCAGTAATAAATAATCCTGGTTCATTTGCATTAATGTAATAAAAATGTTATAAGCTTATTAAAATAAATAATCCACGTGCATTCCGTATTTTGATTGGGATTGTAGCCGATTACGAATTCCAATTATTCAGTATTTCACGCTCATCGACGCCAATAATTACATTCTGATAGAATGCATTAAATCCACCGCTCACACGTCCACTAATTTCCATACAATTAATTCCATGATTAGTAGCATCATACTGTAGCAAATTTTACGGTCTATTTCAATTAACATTCCGGCCGCATTATTTACGTTTTATTTGAAAACATAAAAGCATTTTCATTAAGCGACAATAATGAAATTGTGGAATTCGAGGTGGGCAAGCGCTGAGATGAGTGAGCCCAAAACAATTAAAAGAAAACTCTGTATAAAGTGTTTTCAATTAAACTTGGAATCCGCTAAGCTAACGCTCCATGTGGATTTCTAACTGCAAGCGTCTTGGATACGTGAGACAATTGGGAATAACATTGTTTCTGAAACTCCATACGGAGCATTCTTATTGCTTAGAAAATAAGAATAAACATACATGATTCCATTATAATACAACTAAGCGTTGCTCGCGACTTCGTCCACGTGACATTAAAAAATAATAAAAGGTCGTAGCCTATGTTACTGATGCCGTAGCTTTTTAATGGCGAAAGAATTTTTGAAATCGGTCCAGCAGTTTTTAAATTATTTCAATACTTACGAAAATACAAATCATTCTTCTATATATTAGTATATATATTTTATGGAAGATTTAAAAATTGATTGTTAGACATCTAAAATTTATTCAGTCGATAACAAAATTAATATCTTCAAAGAGCTTGTAACGAAGTATCGAAATTGATATTAAGCTTTTCATCTTAGTTAGTGATAGGACACATTAAGCTGGACCAGGCGCAAGGCTCTTTGAGGTGTCTTAATTACAGCAACGTCGCTGAAATTTAACAGAACCAATCGATCATAAAATTACCTCCTGATACGGCAATATTTTTAATTGGATGATTAATTTAGGTATATTGAAAGAATAATACAACTATAAACAATAAATGCAGAAGATATTTATGAAGGTCTCCTTAAAACTATACAGGATGATGTAGAATTGTAGACAGTTACATGCAATATTATGGGATTCCAAATCTTAATGATATAATATTGAGCATGCGTATAATATGTATTAAAATAAATGAAAATAAAAAAGGTAACTTTTACGATATTTTAATTCACATCAGCTATAAGGAAATTCATGAAAATACCGGAGTCGTTTTCTTCGGAGCGTTTTTAGCAAGTGAGTGACGTCAAAGTCAGTCACGTAAACCGCATTCACTTCAATCAAATCAACGTACCTAAGTCTCGCTTCGCTTACTTTCAGCTTCAATACATTTTACTTTCATATACTCGGCGAAAGTAGCTTTTGAAGTATTACAACATTTTAGGAATGCTATTCAGAATATTTCTTTACCTTTTACAGGTAACTAGTCACGTCCAATACTTTTGTGTTACATAAAACAAATGTAAGTTACCGGTTTATGATTTAATTTTAGGCAATTATGAAATGTCATACGTCTTTAAAGCGCTTGACCACGATAGCACCTGCTATGGGTAACTTTCAGAAAGACGGTACTTCTTCATACTAAATGCCTTACTCTGCTCTTGAAGACCCCGAAAGCATATTGGGATAGAAAAACAGATGCTGGAATGTTTCAATGCTTTGCGCTACGCAAAATTTATGCTTCAAATCACTTTATTCGGAAGTGACAATAACCACAGAAACTTGGATTCCAGTCATATTCCTGAAAGTATTATGATAAACGGTAATAGAAGCTGTGTACGGTGAAACAGCTGACGGTTGAGTCTATAAGATTTCCTAGCTCCTAGATCTCACTTCGCTATCAAGACTTTAGGACATAGATAACAAGTACAGTGAGACGTTTATATATCATTTCATGTCATAGTACTTACCAGCTACTATTGTAAGCAGGGCAAAGGTTGACACTAGCGGTAGTCCTCCTGTCTCCAATGATGCTCTTGTTCTTCTCGTTGATTCCACCATCTTCAATTTTTCATACACCGATCTCTTTTAACTTAAGTTCCGTACATCGTACTCTACTAAGTTTTTATTCAAATTATTAATGAGTAAATGTTTACGTTCTGTATAATTTCATTTTTCAATGCAGTAGTGATTAAGAGAATTTTCTTCAAAACTTCACCGTCGTCATTATTTCCAAGAAAGCTTCAAAGATGCATCTGTAACAAAAGACACAAAGAATTATTATTTAATCGTTAAAGTAGAAGTTGATGGATAAAAGAACTTTTCGTCTTTTTATTTGAAACCTAATACGACCGTATAGCAATATTTTTAAATTAAAATGATGATAAAGCAAGGGCCCTAAAGTTTTTCAAAACAATACGACTAAAGATCAATTAAAAAATTAATTACAGGTCTTCTATTAAAGGTTTTCATAAAGTCAGACACCATATCAGCCTTTTCTCTGATGTCGCAACTTTACGCATCAATAATCATGTATTGGCAAGTAAACGTAAAAGTCGCAAATCGCCAGTGACGAACAAAGCAATGCTACAGAAATGATGAAGTAAAGACTGAATTATCAAGGATTGATAGCACTTCAAGTCAAGAAGAGAGCCAATGAACAGTCCATATCTATTGAGTAACAGTACGGGAGAAGTTTTGAAGTATAAGCCGCTTATAGGCTACAGTGAGGGCGATGACCCCTTAAACACGTTACAATGTGTCAAGATCCAACAGGAGAAAGACTGTGCATACCGAAATAATTTAACTTTTTCTCCAGAAATAGATCAATACATTACATTTTAATACGAATAAGTAGTTAAACAGCGCTACGTTCAAATAAATGGGGCTGCAGAGAAATGCAAAAGATATGCGTTTAGAAACACAAATAACGTTTCCATGCCACGTCCCCATGAACAAACACATGGTAAGTTTTTATTACATCAGTTTCCGCGGCGAGCGTGAGCAAACTCTGATAAAACAGGAACGATTGCCACCGCCCGCGTATATTGTTTCAAGTGTTGTGTTCCATTCCGATAACTCTCTACTTTTATTCCTCTATATCTATAATCTAAAACCCTAACTCTTTGTGCTTCTGGCAGAGTCGTTTTTTGTGGTGTGGTTTTAACTGAAGATTTTTTTCAACCGAGAACTGTATTCCACGTGCATCAGTGAATGAGTTGTACTGCATATAAAAATGTAACTAAATACCATTACATATTATGTGAACGTTTAATTATTGAAATAATACAAATTCTTTAAAAATGTTGTTGCACTGAAATTCGCATATGTAGTTAAATACAGTTACTTACAATGAAAACATGCTGTGAATTATGTTTTTCTTTTGTTTTTTAAGTTTATTATAAGAAAAAGTAGAGGCAAAAAATCAATCCAGACATGTAATTGTTTAATAAACCGTATCCGGGTTAGAGGTCGGCTCGATGCGGCGCGTCTTTAGCGATCGGGCGCGACAATAAACAATACAAACAGCCGGGCCTGCGTTTGACACCAGCCCGTTCCGAGTGGATTAGAGTGCTCCGTTGGGAGTTCGGCAGCATTTAGACAACGTAATAGCCTTCCGCCGTGACCTGCTTTAGCTGAGACAAATTGAGATTTACTGGATTGCCTCTAAGGGATTTCGAATTGGTCTTATAAAACTAAATGGTTTTACTCTTATGTGACTGTTCATGGAAATATATCACGCAAAGTAATTGAAAACTTCATAAGAATACCTATAAATATATTCTAATATTAAAAAGAAGAAAGATTTGTATTTTTGTATGTATGTATTGAAATAACTCAAAAACTACTGGGCCGGCCTAACAAAAAATCTGTTAGAAAGGTAATTTATCTGTGAGTAGCATAGGCTATATCTTTTTTATTATCTTCTAATTTCACACGAAGTCGAGAGTATCATATATTTTATGATAAGCTTCAAAACATTTCGTTTCTGGTTTTGTTGGTTATTTTTTTGTTACAAATTCCATACCATTACAATACATATTCTTAAATAAATAACACATTTCTAATAATACGATATTTATTTGTTCTCTACCTACTAAAGCAGTTTGTACACAATGTCGCGAGTACGAAGTCTCTACAAACGCTTATCTGGCACGTGGCACGCCGCCGATACGAGTTACATTCGCTCCTAACTCCGACTGCTATTGTCGCCTTCACATTGTCTATGCTTACATCCCAATTCCGATTAACGTTAAACTAGAATCAAGTATCCATTGTTCGAGTAATAACTATTCGATGTATTCATAACTATTTGCCTTACGTTAAGATTATTTCCTCCATTATACAAAGCAAACATTCTCATCCAATATCTACGAGATATTTGTTTATACAACTTGATATTAGATCTCTGTAACTTTAATAAAACTGGGGGATCTCTACATGTTTGTTTCACTGTTTATACTACCGAAATTATTGGCAATAATAAAAATGTTTATTCTATTTAAACATACAGTTTTCCATTTTAATTTAGTTCGAACTTATTTCAGATTATTTGGTCGTTATTATGAAACACTCCGTCCGCGTGGAATTAAAAAAAATTGAGTAGCCTATGTGTTCTTCCAGAATATCATCTACATCTATGCCAAATTTCATTGAGATCCATTCAGCCATTTAGGCTACAAACTCTAACAAACATCCATCCATCTAAACTTTCGCATTTTTAATATCAGTAAGATTTCGATTACCCAGTATCCGATTATATAAATTAAAATTATTATTTTTAACATAATTCAAATGCGCAAATAAGCCCTTCGAGGTAGTGTTGGTCATCGGTAAAAACTTATGAATACGCTTTTTGTTCAGTATCTGAATATAATGATGGCGTGGGGAAAAGAGGTCAGTGGTATGAAGTTTTTTGTTCCGGCAACACATGACAGCTGTGAAATATTGATAATTGATGACGGTTTAAGCGATAACACGCAGTACAGATCTGCTGAACGTTAAATGTCGAAATAATCTGAATCAAATGAGGTCAGAAGCATCACGCGCGGTGATTTCGTGCCTATTTCACTGCGCCATTACCGTACGCGAACAAACCGATTTCAATCTAAGTTATTAACAAATGTTGATTGATTTCCAATGATGTACATATATCATTGGAAATCAATCATATTGAAGATCAGAGAGTACGTAATCAACAAAATATACTTTTATTACGAAAAAATCATTCTGGTTAGAGTAATTCGTAGACGCTGCTCCGCCGTAGAACCTCTACGAGTTACACTTTATATTGGCTATGGGTAAATTAGTGTTACTTTCAGTCTTTTCATTTGTTTTGCTCTAGTCTACTTATATGCTACGTTTATGAGGACTACGAAAAAATTCCCACAAATCTCCTTTGCAATTGCGAATGTTTGTAAATATCAGTTTTTCAATCGGTATTTAAGATATTTACGTATTTCTAAAACCTTTTCATTAAAATTATCCGCACGAACTATTCTACCTTGGTCGACAGTTTCTTAATTCGCAATTCCAACGTTAAATTGTTCGGTTAATTACTGCTATTGTGGTGGACGACGGCAGCCCATTATTCACAATCGCGCTCTAAAAAATTCGCTGAAAAATTCCCCGAGAACCGGTTGCTAAATCACAATAAGTAATTAGCTTATCTGTTGGCGTCACGCGCAAGGCGCCCTCTAACTCTAAGGGGGAAGGTTGTGGATGAGTTCGCGTCTTACATTAAGCTATGTTAATCTTGACTCTGTTTAATAAACGAAGTCTTTCGGATTAAATAAATGAGTGTTAGCAAATTTTGCGGTCAGCGTTCGGTTGAGAGAACATTTGCTTGTCTTTGTTTTGATTTGATATCCAGTTGTTCAAACTGATACAGAAACATTCTGAAAAAGCATTCTACGTTATTTCTAGATTTAAAGTTATTCTAGTTAGAGCCATTTGATAAAGAAATGTTTATGTCACAATACAAAACAGAAAAAAAGTACTTTTTATTATAATTTTTATAAAAATACATCAAATTAAATGATTTTATTTTTCAATTATAATCGTTCTAACGGTACATAAAACACACTGATATGAAAATAATAATTCGTAATAACCTCAGTTACATATTAATAATACCTGGTTTAGACAATTTTAATAGTTAAAAACATCTCAGACTATGACTTGCTTAAAAGTTCTCGATTAATTACATTCATTGTGGTGAAAACTTCGCTCGTTAACTTACGATTTTACCCTAAATTTTCATTTGATAAACCGGCACCTCCTTTTGGAAACTTTTTAAGTTGCCGTTGCTTGCCAGGGGCAAGAAACTGGAAATCCGGTAGGATATTTAAAGACATATCTGGAGGCATATTTTTATATTCTACAGAACCTTTTATTATTAAGTTGACCAATAACAAAGAAAGTTCAAAATCCTACGAGTATATGAAGCTAATATTACACTATAAATAATATTTCAAACAAACATATACATACAATATTAAAATTAAACTGGTTCTGAATTTCAATAACAAAAACAAAATAATCATAATTGACAGTTTTTTATTTTATTTCATCGTATAACTATAATTAGTGGACTTTAAGAGGTTGAACTCAGATAACTTATTTCAAACGTTTTTTTCCTAATTTTAAAATTTTCTTGAAACATCTAATTATGAAATTAAAAAAAAAACAATGTCGAGATATTTATTAAAATGAATTAATTATCACTTGGAATATACAAAAAACCAATCGACTTCACTATAATAATATTTAGAAACAATGTATCCGAGTACAATATGTTTTCATAAGGATTCGTCTAGACGACCACAATGGACCTTTTCAAGTCTCGTAAACAAAGCGCCCGGCCAATTGTGAACCTATCTCTCAATGACAAGAAAACTGTTTGTGTTTAATTGAACTCATTGTTTACTATATTTCTGCTCAATTTGTATTTACTAATAAGGAAATAAATAATACAACTCGAATAAACAAAGGTACATTGAATCAACGTCATTACTTTCTTATTTAACCACCTATTTTAAATTGAAATAAATGAAAACTTAACTAAATAAACTCTTTTTCATACAATCAAATAATTTGTTTAGAGCATGTTTAGTACTGTTTAAAAGCTAGAACGTTTCACCTTTATTATAACTAAAAGTTTATGATGATAAAACAGTTTTGGAGGACGCAGCAATATTTCAAACTATAACAACGCTTTGCTCTGTACAGGGACGGTTCAACGTTTCATGT